TTAAAATTCTATTAAGATACAGCCAGATGGTTGAGCAGTCTTGAAGATATGCTATCCACTAGCATCAATCCATAAAGGCAGGATATCAACCATGTATGGATACATCTACAAGCGCAGTGGAGAAAGAAGATTAGTGTGACATCCAAGCGAATTTTTGGAGATCCACTAAAAGAGAGCAGTGTGACATCCAAGCAAAATTTTGGAGATCCACTAAATGAAAACTCTTGTGTGACATCTAGAACAATATCTAGAGATCAACAGGGTCAATTAGCATGCAACAAACGTGGTCCGCTCTAAGCGCATACCACATTTGTTGGGAGGCATTTGTTGACTTGTAGTCAGCAAAACAAAAAAAAAAAAAAATAGAAAGAAAATCAAATCCTACCTGCTCTGCCGAAGCACGTCGCTCCCCACGTCGCGCACAACTTCCTCCCACGTCGCTGGCACATCGACGTCGCTTCTTCACACGATCTCCCTCGACGTTAAAAAGAGGCCGAAGCCCCTACTCTTCGGTTCGACGACTCTCCCTCTCTCTCGATCTCTCGCGCATTCGGCGACTTTTCCTTCAGTCGGATCGGAAGCATGAACAGGAGCTCCGTTGGCTGTAAACGTAACTTCCTCCCTTGCTTCGCTTCTACGACTCCTCTCTAATGTTCGACTCCACACCTTCTGCGATTTTCCCTTTCTCGTCGGATCCGGAAGTTACGACAGTTTGATCGGAAGCAACTCGGGAGCTCGCCGACTGTGAGAGATAACTTTCTATCTCCCGGCGCTTCTCGGCTCCTTCCAGGCTGTTCAACGTGCTCCATCGACGGACTTTTCTCCTCCTGTCGGAGAGGAAGTTACGACCATTTTGACCGGAATAAGAAGTGGAGTTTGGCTTCTTCGGCTCCAGTTGCTGGCTTTTCGGCTTTGCCGTCCCAACCGACGCCGCCCCTGCCTACGGGAATCGGAAGTTACTTACAAGTTTGATCAAGAAGCAAAAGACTGGGGGAGCTCATGGAAGCTGAAGGTAAACCTTCACCCTCCCGACGCTTTTTGGCAAAATCCCATAAATTCCACTATGCGAGGGATTAAAAAAATTATTAAAAAGTTGGTATTTAATTATAATTATATTTAATTAATTTTAATTATTTTTTTAATTTATTATAAATATTATGATTAATTTTAATTAATTCTAATTAAGTTATTATAATTAAATTATTTAATTATAATAAATTTAATTAAAATTAATTTTAATTAATTATAATTTCTTATAAATAATTAATTAAAAATAATTTACTAATTAATTATCATTAATTAGCATTAATTATAATTAATTCAAAAAAAAAAGAGAGAGAAATGCTCATTTCTCTCTTGCCTACCCTTCCCGCCTCGGTTTTCGTACCCTCTTGCCTCGATCCACGAGCCGCCGTCGATCTGCCAGCCGACCAAGGTATAATTTCTGGATCCTAGGCTTTCTTTCTTACCTCGTCCTGCGTGTCGAGTCGGCGGTCTGCCTATACACGCTTTTCTTAGCGTGGTGGGAGGGGCAACTGGCGCGACACCTACGACAAGGTAGGCGAGCGACCCATGGTTCCAAATCCTTTTTCGAAGTTCGTAACGCACCGGCAAACCACCTATGCACGCTTTTCTTAGCGTGGTGGGAAGGGAATCCAGTGCGATGCGTACGACGAGGTCAGGATACCCATAAGTACTCGCTTGCGGGGAAACAACTGCTTTTTCTCTTGCAACAGGTATTGATAGAAGACCCATGCACGCTTTTCTTAGCGTGGTGGGAACAAAGACTTTACACGGCTGCGGAGCCCCTGAAAGAGGGCACCTACCATACATGCTTTTCTTAGCGTGGTGGGAAAGGCCCAGTTTTCCGTAGTTTCCCCCTAAACGGGGGAGACGCCGGGAGGATGCCGAAATTTCGGGTGAAATATTACTCTACTCGGGACCTGTTTTGAAAACTCAAAAGAACAAGCATTAGAACTGAAATGAACATAAATTGTGGACTTGTGGACCGCCGAACTTGATTGAACACAAGCAGAGAACTTGAATCTGAACAAAATTCAAATGATTTCTAAAGATCAAAATCTAAATAAAATCAAGATAGAACTGAAGATCAAATTTAAATGAAATGAACTCGAAATGGGACCAAGTTGAAACCATTTGAATGTTAAATTGAACTCAAAGGATTTAAAAAAAAAACTATGAACAATTAACTCGGACAAGCACTTGAATTCGTACTTTAACTCGGGCTGTACGACATTAAGGGGAGACCTGTAAACTTGATTATTCAAGTCTAAATGAAACTAAATTTGGATCCAAACACATACAAGGACAAAGTTTGAATCACGCATGAGGAAATTCAAATTACAAGACCTCGATGCATGAATTCCTACAGCAATCCCTACAAATGCCTGTTGATTGAGATTGCAATGCTTGAGACTGACAATCAAAGATCCGTCCTCTACAAATAAATGCAGGCATCAGACCACCTGAGATTGGTGAAAGGTGGATGTGATGCAAGAAACTAGGGTCTCCTACGAACATTCCTCGGAGCTCGTAGCAAACACGACGGATTCCTATAAACAAATACGAGCCGCTTGTGGATAACAACAGTGGACATATCGTAAGCACCAATGAATCACTGTGGGCACAAGTACAAGTATCTCCTATGACGATCCCTACGAGGTCAAGCAAATACACGAAAAACCCACCCGAGATTAGTGAAAAGGGTGGATATGATGTAGAAGCAATGGGTCTCCTACAAATACCTTCAAAAGACCGTAGTTGATACAACTGGTCCCCTGCAAATGACTACAAACAACTTGCGGATAACAACAGTGTGTACATCGTAGGTACAACGAACCACTGTGGGCACAAGTACAAGCATCACCTACGACAATGGTGATCAAAATGCTGTCAATATACCGGGTACAAAGACAACCCAATGTACGAAAAAGGACACTCCCTTGCAAAATCAGAAAAGAAATATTTGAACAAATTAGAACCAAACTTTTCGGTGTTCCAAAGTCTCTTCTTATTTCCATACTTGAGAAGAAAACAGCTCTGGTACCCACAAATACCGGAAATAACAAGTCTACTACACTGAACATTTCAAAAAGAGTTCTCTACAAAAACAACAAACTTCAAAATCCAGAAAGTCCATCCCCGGTGATTGAGAAAGGGGGAGTCAACATTAAAATCCAACGCCACCGGATCTGCAACATCTATGAAAGCAGACAGAAGGCGACCATAATCTATAATGCAACGCCACCGGATCTGCAACATCTATGAAAGCAGACAGAAGGCGACCACAATCTATAATGCAACGCCACCGGATCTACAACCTCTGTACAAGCAGACAGAAGGCGTCTACAAATATTTCTAAATACCCCTGCACGTACACTATAAACTGTGTACACATAGGTACACTAAAGGGGTATATAAAAATCATCCGCATGGGCCCCGGCGAGCGTGTTATTGGTACACATGTGACATCTGGGGATGCTGCGCGGGTCAACAAGTGAATTCTAGTTCGAGCCTGATCCTTCTATACGGATCTATAGGAGTCGATAGGGTTCGAATCTTTAAACAAATACACGGTTGTGGCGACCAGTATATTTATTTCAATACACTCATATTAGGCTTTCAAGGCCTACAATCAAAAGAATTCACTAAACAAAAGGCACGAAGCCTACAAAACCCGATCCTTGGTCAAAATCTTGGTCGAGTCGACAAGGTTCCGTCAAATGGAATTGACCCCAAACACCCCGATGATGGCCGTGTTGAACACTAATCTCAACCGGAGGGGTCCATTTAATCCAAAGCTCCACCCAAATACTCCAGAAATCCAAAA